CCACGGCGGCGGCCGCGGGCGGCAACCAGAAGAACAGCCCGGACCGCGTGAAGCGGCCCATGAACGCCTTCATGGTGTGGTCGCGCGGGCAGCGGCGCAAGATGGCCCAGGAGAACCCCAAGATGCACAACTCGGAGATCAGCAAGCGCCTGGGCGCCGAGTGGAAACTTTTGTCGGAGACGGAGAAGCGGCCGTTCATCGACGAGGCCAAGCGGCTGCGGGCGCTGCACATGAAGGAGCACCCGGATTATAAATACCGGCCCCGGCGGAAAACCAAGACGCTCATGAAGAAGGATAAGTACACGCTGCCCGGCGGGCTGCTGGCGCCCGGCGGCAACAGCATGGCGAGCGGGGTCGGGGTGGGCGCCGGCCTGGGCGCGGGCGTGAACCAGCGCATGGACAGCTACGCGCACATGAACGGCTGGAGCAACGGCAGCTACAGCATGATGCAGGACCAGCTGGGCTACCCGCAGCACCCGGGCCTCAACGCGCACGGCGCGGCGCAGATGCAGCCCATGCACCGCTACGACGTGAGCGCGCTGCAGTACAACTCCATGACCAGCTCGCAGACCTACATGAACGGCTCGCCCACCTACAGCATGTCCTACTCGCAGCAGGGCACCCCCGGCATGGCGCTCGGCTCCATGGGCTCGGTGGTCAAGTCCGAGGCCAGCTCCAGCCCCCCCGTGGTCACCTCCTCCTCCCACTCCAGGGCGCCCTGCCAGGCCGGGGACCTCCGGGACATGATCAGCATGTACCTCCCCGGCGCCGAGGTGCCGGAGCCCGCCGCCCCCAGCAGACTGCACATGTCCCAGCACTACCAGAGCGGCCCGGTGCCCGGCACGGCCATCAACGGCACACTGCCCCTGTCGCACATGTGAGGGCCGGACCGCGGACCGGAGGGGGGAGCTTTGCCGAGAGAGACGAGGGAAATGGGAGGGGTGCAAGGAGGAGAGGGAGAAGCCGCCTGGAGAAGAAAAGCCCGGTGCGCGCAAAAGGAGAAGAAGACGACAAGGATTCCGTCACCCGCAGCAGTGACAGCTGCAAAGGAGGACGCCGATCCCATCCACGCTCACACAAAAACCGCGATGCCGACAAGAAAACTTTTATGAGAGAGATCCTGGACCTCTTTTTGGGGGACTATTTTTGTACAGAGAAAACCAGGGGGGTGGGGAGGGCGGGGGAATGGACCTTGTATAGATGATCTGGAGGAAAGAAAGCTACGCAAAACTTTTTAAAAGTTCTAGTGGTACGGTAGGAGCTTTGCAGGAAGTTTGCAAAAGTCTTTACCAATAATATTTAGAGCTAGTCTCCAAGCGACGAAAAAAAAATGTTTTAATATTTGCAAGCAACTTTTGTACAGTATTTATCGAGATAAACATGGCAATCAAAATGTCCATTGTTTATAAGCTGAGAATTTGCCAATATTTTTCGAGGAGAGGCTTCTTGCTGAATTTTGAATCTGCAGCTGAAATTTAGGACAGTTGCAAACGTGGAGAGAAGAAAATTACTCAAATTCGGACATTTTAGTTGTTTTAAAATTGTACAAAAGGAAAAAAATTAGAATAAGTACTGGCAAAACCATCTCTGTGGTCTTGTTTAAAAGGGCAAAAGTTTTAGATTGTACTAAATTTTATAACTTACTGTTAAAAGCAGAAATGGCCATGCAGGTTGACATCGTTGGTAATTTATAATAGCTTTTGTTCAATCCCAACTTTCCATTTTGTTCAGATAAAAAGACAACATGAAATTACTGTGTTTGAAATATTTTCTTATGGTTTGTAATATTTCTGTAAATTTATTGTGATATTTTAAGGTTTTCCCCCTTTATTTTCCGTAGTTGTATTTTAAAAGATTCGGCTCTGTATTATTTGAATCAGTCTGCCGAGAATCCATGTATATATTTGAACTAATATCATCCTTATAACAGGTACATTTTCAACTTAAGTTTTTACTCCATTATGCACAGTTTGAGATAAATAAATTTTTGAAATATGGACACTGAAATTATGCTTGAGTCTTTCATTTATTTGGATAACACTGTGATTATACATAACTTCTCGGGGAACTAGAATACTGTGCTCAGCCAAGAAAGCGAAATTCATAAGCCTTGGTATTAAGAGTCCAGCATCTTGTACTAACGTTAACTGCAAAAAAGCAATGGCTGGATGATTAATAAGTACTCTGGAGAAATTGAAATGCTTCTGTCATTTCTAAAATAGAAACTAGAGACATAGATTGTAAATCCCACCCCCTCTTTTTCTAAGCAGCGTGAATAAGCATGGTGGGGACTTATATGTAAACTGATTTGTGCCACTTGTTGCCAGAAAGGATTCAATTCTGAAATTTTTCATGTAGTTTAGCAGATGGGGTATTGAGCCAAATCAGAACCAGGATGGCTGGTTTTGTTTTCATTTTCTTCACAGCACAATGGCCCTTTGAAACCTGGTTACAGGGGAAAATGATGCTTCTTGTATCGGAATAATTGCAAACTAGACATGCAAAGTGTTCATCTGCTGGGTGGGTGTTTGGATTACTCTGGCCCTGCTATTGTCTGAGAGGAAACAAGTGGTTTGCTTTCTTTGTTCCTTGACTTCATAAACTTTCTCCTCTACATTTTCCCGTTTAGGGGCGAGGGGAAGCAAAGAACGTCTTGCAAAACTCCCCGACTTATCAAGAACGTAGTTTTCTCTTTTATTATTTATTTTCTCCCCCCCCCCCTCCTCCCCGAATTCCATTTCTTAAATTGGCAGCGCGGGTCCAAGCCTGTAGCCCCAAATCGGATAATCTCTGCATCTGATAACAAGCAAAAGAGAAGCCAGGCCACAGCCATATTAAAGAAGAAAACAAGCAACTCTGAGGTAGATATTTTACTTTGTCCGGGTCTAATCACTTTTGGAGATGATTATGCTTTTGATCTGTTGACAATGTTTTACTACAGTGGTAGAGAGGTGGGGGGAGGAGAAATGGGTGGGGAAACAAGATTGGATTTGCTGGGTTTTTATGCCCCGGGAAGGGTAAAGAAAGGCCGCAGTCCTCTGTGGGAGCGGAAAAGTTGGGGAACCGCCATGGTCTTTGCATGAGCGATGCTTCTGCACCACAACCGACCCTGGCTCTGGGGCAGCCGGAGAGCCTGTGACCTAGTCAGGGACTTTCCCTCTTTATTTACGACTTGCTTCGCTCACCTTCCCCCACCCGAGGGGACCGGGAACCAAGAGTCGGGCATTCTTTAGAGCACGGGTTTGCTTCCCACAATTTCAAGAGCTTGTCGTGTCAACTTGCCGCAACTTTGGAGAAGTTGGACTCCGGCAGCGCCTGACACCCCGAGTAAAGTCCCCGCTGCAGCCACTAAGTTAGCTCGACCCGTGGGTCAGCCTCCCCTCCTTGCCAACAAAGTCGTTCTTTCTCGTGCTCTTGCTAATGCTAGTTTGAACTGAGCTGGGGGTTTGTCTCATGCTTCCTGTGCTTTTTAATTTCTTCTGGATGACTTTTTTAAGATATGTATTGGTTTTTATTTATTACTTTTTTAATCCTCATTTTTAGGGTAACGTTGTACGGGAAAGGGACAATTATTATTCCAGTTCCCAATTCTAAGCGGGGCATTTTCCCCCCTAATTAATGCAGAGACTCTAAAAGAATTTCCCCGGGCCTGACCAGCCATTGTAATGCATATACGGATTATTCACGTGGTAATGAGCACATTCGCCGGTTCTTGCTCACACATACGAATAAAAGAAACTTTGAATAAAGATCCAAATTATCGTGCTGGGGGAGTGGGGAGGATATTCCCGGAATTTGAGGCAATTGACTATATAGATTGTATATATTTTCAAAATAGAGATAGATTAGAAATACATATAGGGTTTTAGAGTAATTGCACTGAAATAACCCCCCATTTTTAAGGAAAGAGCCCACAGGATTCGACCAGAGTACATCTTTTTGGCAAAATGCTCAGGTTCAAATATTTTGCCAGAAGAAAGAGAGCATAATATTTTGGGAAATCGAACTAGCTTTGAATAATTGTCACTGCTTAAAACAAGGGAACTCCCCTTCCCCTTCCTATCCCTCCATATCTCCAAGTCAGATCGTTGGAAAATGGAAGCCAAAATATTTTGTTCGTAAATATAAATGCTTTTGATAAACTTGGTCTGAGGAAAGTGATACATATCTCATGGCATCATCCCTCTGATTGGGTTAAATGATTGCCCAAGATATGTACTTTCATGGTAGGCTAATATCGTACATATAATATTTTAATAACGATGTGATTTTTAAGAAGGGGCGTAAACCCATAAACTTGCCCAGAGACGGTTATCTCATGGTGCTGTAGATAGTTGTTGAGTGTTTGGTTCTTTCTTCAGGAAATTATTCTGCTCAATGGAACCACTCAATTTCCAGCCAAAGGAGGTGAATTTAAATGTTTCCTTAACCTCATACACAGAATAGAAATGTGCGAAAGGACGAGATTATAGTCTGTTGCCTGCAATTTTTTTCTTTCCCCAAACCCACCCCTCCTCCCATACTTTAAATAAAGAGCGTTAAAATATTTTGCTGAGCTGTAGTAGATTAGTGAGGTTTCTTGCCAATGCTGGAAAGCTGGTATTACAGACTGTCCCAGGGGGAAATGGCTCACATTAACCACTAAATGAATATTTGACAAGGGCTCATTCGGAGGTATTATTACTATAAACGTGTCCCTACTGGACTTTTCAAGGGTCAAAGAGCAACGCTTCAATTAATTATTTAGACTGCTAGTAGATTTGGTTGTAATAGCTGTACTTATTTCTAGAAACCGACACATTTCTTACAGTAGGAAAATCTCAGGAGAATCTTCTCCATCAGTAACACCTTGAATTGAAATACACACAGAACCCTGGCATTCTAAAGCTGACTTTCTCATAAAAATCTCTCCTTAGGCTGGGGGCAGGGGTGGGGGGTGGAATTAGAGTCTTTCTATTTCATTGACTGTTTTGGTTAAAAAACAACTACAACAATAATTTATCTTAATTTCCACATCATGTCTGGCAAGGTCTTTTTAGGGATTTGCAGTTTGGGGAGAAAGGGGGTGTTTATTTATAACCTTTGCCTTTGCTAAGTAGAGATGTCACAGGATTTCAGAGACTCAGGCAGTCCCTGAATTTAGACAGGATACACATTTCTGTTTGCCAATAAAATTCAGGTTTTAAAATGGAAGGCTCCATAGACGGAATACTCTTAGTTCTTGTAGTCTCATAGTAAATTGGGGTAAAATGCAGTCCTGCCTTCCCTCCCCACCTATTGGTCTGAACACTGCAAGGTACAGTGGGGGGCCAGGGTTCCATTTCTGCCATGTCATAGGCTCCTCCGTGGCCCTAGGTAAAATGGTAAGGGAATGATTTTGAGGGTAAGATTCCTTGACAATAATATAAATTGAATGAATAAGAGATAAGCTGCGAGAGGGGGTGGGAAGCAGTAATTACAAACCCAATTCATTCAGCTTTTCAGAACTTTTGTTGTGGGAGCTCCATTGACTGGTTTTGAGCTGCCAGTTTTCTCACATTAAAAAGAACTGATCAGCGCCTCAGGGGGACAAGAAATACCGCTTAACTGCATAGTGATGGGGTCTTCATTTAGAACCATTACAAGACGAAAATTAAACAGTGCCTTTGTGTGCACAAGGTTTACTTTTCAGCTGCTAACAGTTTATAGCTAACTGCTCTGAGATTGAAGTTTGACTATCGTTTGATCGCCTGCTGATGGGCACTGCTTATTTATTTATTTATCTGTTGTAATTAAAGGAGCTTTTTGTCTCCTCCCCCCACCCCTTATTTTTTGCTTTTGGAGAATTTTGAAAAATGGGACCTCATCTTTTTCTTTTTGGGAGAAGTTTCCATTGCCATGAGATTTAGCAGAGATTTGAGTTCACATTCCCCAACTGACCCCCCCATTATAGCCTGAAAATAATTTGCATCTCATTCCCTTTTCTCTCTCTCTCTCTCTCTCTCTCTCTCTCTCTTTCTCTCTCTCTCTCTCTCTCTCTCTCTCTGCATTTTCTTGCTGTCAGAGCTAAGGCTGCTTTTCAGGTTGCCAGTGAGGTTGGGGATGGATGGTGATTTAATTTTTTTGCTCTTTTTTTTTCCTCTTTTCTTTTTTCTTTTTTCTGTTTTTTTCTTTTTTTTTTTTTTTGACCTAAGTTGGAAGAAGGCTGGGTGGATTCCCAAGGGACCTCATCTGTGAGGTGAATCCCTTAAAGAAGGAAGAAGGAGGAGAAACTCTGACCTTTACTGTGAAAATATGGATTAAGTCCAAAGGAACATAGCCTCCGGAGTTCTAGAGTAAGAAGCTGTGGAAGGAGCTTTCCAAAGACAGGGAATTTGCCCAAACCAGGGAATTGGTATAGTGTCTTTCATAGTTATTGTCTATTAAAAACTTTCCTGAAAGCCTGGCGCCTGATACCACCAAGGGAGACTTGTAACCTCCTCTCTCCCTTATGACTTTGCTGTCCAGTTTTACAATTCTTGTTTTCAGTTTGTATACCATATTGCTTCTGTGGCCTTTAGAAAATAATGGACTTGACTTTCTTATTTTGACCAAGGTGACTTTGGAAGGGTGGAGTATTAAGATAAGTCTAAGATTTCCCATGGCAGAGAGCGCTCTTTACGTGTTGCGAGTTCCGGTGGATTTTATTTATATTTTGGTATAAAGGTGATCTTTCTAATTCCTTGAGCGCTGTGCTCAGTTTCTCTCCCAAAGCAAACAGAACGTCCTCTCCTTTCGGGACGCAAAGATATTTTTGCTGCTTCTGGGCGTTTGAACTTGAGATGCTTGTTCTACTTTGCCAAGAAGTGTCAGGTGATTTAAGCGCTCGGTGGAGTCATTCGTTGTCTTGCCCTCGTCTGCCCGCATGTGCAGAATGAAGCGTGCACAGTTTTATGTGGGTTTCAGAGCTCCGAACTGTCATTCGCCTCCCCGGCCCGGCTTCGGCGCGGGGCTCGGCGCTGGGCTGTGAGC